GTTTTTTCTAAGACTAGCACGCTTTCTCTCCGTGGTTTCTTTTAGACTTGGGAGGGCCTGGTCTAGAGTCACTGACCTTTCTCCACCTCTGGCAGTTTGTTTTAACAGTTCTATGATTTGTAGAAAATGTTTTTTCTCTTCTGTGCTCCTGCAAAGAAATCTTTGAAAGTGGAAGTCCTGAAAGCCAGATGGACTAACAGACCAACAGACGGGTAATGTGGGCACAGCGACTGACAGGACCAGTGTTGTTGTAATATGTTGAAAATATGCTGCATCGCAGAGCTCAACATGTCTGATCTTTGTTTTCCCTGGCAAGGGAGTAAGTGGAGGGAATCGGGATGTGTTCATCTCTGTGTGTGGTTGTATCTCAGCTTCTGACCTTCCTATTGTGTAGCAGGGTTTTAGAACTCAGCCAAATAAGTCCACATTCAGGGTTTTGTTATTTGTGAAATTCTCTCCCCTTCTAACTCTATGTCCTTTTTTGTCTCTGCAGGCCGAGATATGAACTCCCGCTGAAATTATTGATGCTGAACTGGTGAGTTTTGGGGCTGCCAGTGATAGCTGCAGCAACACAAATGTCCTTTTCTTGCGTTGTGTTTCTTAGTTTGTTGTTACATTCTGCCCAACTGCGCCGCTGCCTTACAAGCCCCTGGGGCAAATATTAAAACGACACAGCGTCCAGAATTTAGTTGGACATAACGTTTGGGAAAACCGAGCTTGCGATAAATCAATCAATGTAATGTACGTGTCAGTGTTTGATCTAACACATTTCTGCGTGTCTGCGTGCACTAACATCTACCTGGATCTTATTTTCCTGCCACTCTTTCTTTGAGGCCTCATTAGCGAACACAGACACTTTCTTTCCCGCATTAAATATTACAAACACGTTGTGCCGACAACTGGAGAGGACAGACATCTTATTGGATTTGTGCTGAGTGATGAAAGCATGAAGTCTACATTTTAATTGTATCTTTCATGAAAGGCTGATATTCGCTGATCCACTGCACACATCACTCATTGATGAATAGGTTGCGTGACTGAAGCTGTTGATCTGTGTTCCCCCATGCCAAGTTTGACACTTTAATGAAGCTCAAATGTGATTGCTGTCTATGTGTTCATGATGTATTCTGTATTAATGATGTGTAGCATCAAAGCTGTCTGTTAGCTTCACCTGGTTCATTTTCATATGTCTCCTTTTATCGAGCAGAGAGGTGTGTATTATCTCTAAATTATTCTGTTGGCAAGAACCATATGACTATAACTTGATAGTGACTAGGAAAAGTAATTCTTAAAACATATATCTAAGCATTGCTTTAGAAACATGTTTTATGATTACCACTTATTATATTATAGTTTGTGATAAAGGTTTGATTATTGAACAGTAAGCTGGTCTCCACTGCAAACTGCTGGTATTTCTGAAATACACAAAA